TCATGCTGGTATGCAACAGACTATGTGATCTCCAGCATACTCTTAGACATGACGAGCACCACAACTAAAAATGTGCAAGCACTGAAGGAGTCAGAGAGATAGTACATGGGTAAGGCTCTTGCCTTGTGCTGACACTGGTTCAGTCTCCGGCACTGACTGCATCAGGCAACCCCAGCTCCATTAAGAGTGATCCCCAAACAGAGTCAGAAGTAAGCCCTGAGCACTACCAGCACTACTAGCACTACAAAACAAAAACAAACAAAACAAGCTGAGGCCTAGTGTGCAACCTCGGGGAAGCATTACAATTCAAGTGTTAGACCCTTGCTCAGTACCAGATTGTGAAGGGACACCACAAAGAGCAAGTAAAACTCCTGGGAAGCACTATAACCTAGTGAGCCAAAAACTGTGAGGTGTGTGCAGCTATCAGTCATCAAAACAACAAAAGCAAAAAGGGGAAGGTAAGAACAAAATTAAAACACAAAGAAACAAACTGCCAAAACAGCGAAGAAGAGAAATGTTGAGTGGTTTTATATGGAAAGAAACTGAATTATAAGCTAGCAGCTTTCTGACAAAGAAAATTGCAGGTCCAGGTGAGTTTACTAATGCAACCAAACATTTGTGGAAAAAAATACAACTCTCCAATTTATTTCAGAAATCTGAAAAAGAGCTAGGGCCAGAGAAACAGTACAGCAGGTAGGGCAGTACTGCATGCCTTGCATACAGCCAACCCAAGTTTGATCTCCAGCATCCTATGTGGTCTCTGGAGTCCGCCAGGAGTGATTCCTAAGAGTCAGGAGTAAGCCCTGAGCACCATTTGGAGTGGCTAGAAAACAAGAGGGAAGGTGACAGAGGTGGTGGGATTGGTGCTGGAATAATGAATGTAACAAATCATCACGAATGACTTTGTAAACCACAGTATTTAAAAGGAAGAGGAGAAGGAAAAGGAGGAGGGGAAGGAGGAAGAAGAGGATGGTAGGTAGCCCACAGAGCTGGAGCAGGTTGGTCCCTTGAGCACTGCTAGAAGTGACTCCAAATCATTACAGGGTGATTTTTGACCTCCTGACCAAAAAAAAAAAAAAAAAAAAGGGTAAAAACTGAAAAGGGTGCATTTCTCAAGTCATTCATGAGATCATCAATAACCAGACAACAAAACCAGACAAAGGCATAACAAAAAGTAGAAACTAATATCCACTATTAAACAAACACAAAATATACAGAAAATTCAGTCTATCAATACATTAAAAAAAAACAGTGAGTGGGATTCACTCTGGGCATATAAGATCTAAAATTTATTTGAAAATTAATCAATGTAATTCAAAAACACAGAGTTATCTCAACAAATGAAGGAAAACAATGAGACAAACAAATTCAACATTATACAGGATCTAGGGAATGCCTCAGATAGATTGGAAGGGAAAATTCAAAACAATTCATAAACTAAGATACGCAGAAATGCAAGGATTTTTTTTTTTGGTGTGGAGGCCTCTATAGCAATGCTCCAAAGCCCCAGGACTACTCCTGGTGATGGTGATATGCAACCAACTAGCAGGTTCAATTATCTGGCTGAGCAGTGTTGGAGGCCACTGAGGATACGTCCAGTGGTATTCAGGAGGGTCAAGTGTACCAGAGACAGAACTAGGTTAAGTGCTGCTGTCCACTGAGTTATCTCTCTGACCCCTGCAAGAAAATTATTCAATGTGACAAAAAGTATCTCTGGCCAGAGAGATAATATTTGCATATTATCAGAACTAGGTTAAGTGCTGTTGTCCACCGAGCTATCTCTGACCCCTGCAAGAAGTCTTCAATGTGATCAAAAGTATCTACAGCCAGAGAGATAATATTTGTATATGGCCATGCCCAGTCTGATCCCAGCTTAACAGGGTCCCTGAAGCACTGCCAGGTGCAGCCATGGAAGCCCCTGAGCACACCAGAGATGACCAGGTAATTCCCAGCACTGCAAGGCCCAAAGCACCGCATAGCTGTTTGGGAGACCTTTTTTAAAAGAGAACCTATAAGAAATGAAAAACAGTGATAATACAGTGGGTAGGGCATTTGCCTTGCAAGTGTCCGACCGGGGTTCAATCCCCAATAGCTCATATGGTTCCTCCAGTCTGCCAGGAGTGATCCCTGAGTGCAGAACCAGGAGTAAACCTGAGCATCACCAAGTGTTGCCTGACAGGGCTCCAGGCAAACAGTTTGCAAATGTCCAACATGGATTCAATTCCAGGTACCACATGTGGTCCCCCAACCCCATTCCTGAGTGCAGAGCCAGGAGTAAGTCCTGACAACTGTCACGTGTACCCTTAAAACTAAAATAAATATATAAACAAGCAATAGGGATGGTTAATAAGAGAACTTCAAAGACCTATCAGTAAGGATTGGGATTGATGGTATTATTTTGGGGGCGGTTGGCATGGGGTATACTACTACTGTCAGAGTTTGGGGGAACATGTGGTACCTGGGATTGAACCCAGGCTTTGTGCATGTAATGCATGTGCCTCAGCTTTGAGCTATCTCCCTGGAACAATAAATGGTGAGTTAAACAAAAATAACTTTGGTGGTGGTAAAGGTATAGAAACTTTGCACTTCAAAACCATAAATGATGGCCCGAATGATAGTACAGCAGGTAGAGCATGCGGCAGATCTAAATTCAATCCCGAGCATCCTATATGGTCCCCCCGAAGCACCGCCAAGAGTAATTCCTGAGGGCAGAGCCAGGAGTAACCCCTGAGCATTGCTGGGTGTAATCATAAATGACTAAACTACATTAAAAAAAAAAAACACTTCACAGGCTAGAGCGGTATTACAGGGGGTTGGGTATTTGTCTTACATGAGGTCAACCCAGTCAATCCTCAGCACCCCATCTAGTCACCTGAGCCCTCCAGGAGTAATTCCTGAGTGCAGAGTCTGGAGTAACCCCTGAGCATCACTGGGTGTGGTTCAAAAACAAACAAATTTTTTTTAATTAAATAAAACGTTTCACATAAAAATTAAAACGAAATGACAATAGTTGTCTTGAGGAAAGTGGTTTTCTTCTTGCTCTTTTTCTTTTTTTGGTTTTTGGGCCATACCTAGCAATGCTCAGGGGTTCTTCCTGGCTCTGTAGTCAGTGATCACTCCTGGCAGGACTCAGGACCATATGGAACTGAGGATCAAACCCATCTGGCTGCATTACAAAGCAAGCATCTTACACACTGTACTATCTATATCTCTCTGGCCCTGGAAAATGGTTTTCAATTCATACACTAGAACAGAGATACAAAAGGTTTTATTTCTCTCCATGACAAAGAGATTTTTTTTTATAAGAGTGTTGATATTTATGTTAAGAGAGTACTTGGGATATCAGCTCTATTACTTTAATAGTTAAAGGTGATCTCAAATCAAAAGAAAAGGTAACAAGAAAACCACAAAATAAAAAGCACCACTTTACACAAAAGATTTCAGTAGAACTAGTGGCTCCAGAATCAACCAAACCCTTAGGTCAGATTCCAGCTCTGCCCTTCACTAGCTACATGGACCTGGAAAATTCACTAGCTGTACACTGCAGCTGTCACTGTCCTCCCGTTGTTCTTCGATTTGCAGCGGGCCCAGTAATGTCTCCATTGTAAGACTCATTGTTACTGTGTTTGGCATATCAAATACGTCACGGGTAGCTGGGGGCGAGATACTCTCGGTAGCTTGCCCGGCTCTCTGAGAGAAGCGGAAGAACTGAACCTGGCTCGGTCAGATCAGCCGCGTGCAAGGCAAATGCCCTACCGCTGGTTTCTCTTCAGATCGCCTGTCATCACTGCAGTTACAAATGCATATCTCTGGGTCAGATCGATAGTGCAGTCAGTACGGTGCTGGCCTTAAATGCAGCCAACGAGGGTTCAATTTCTGATACCAAATACTGTTCTCCAGCACTACCAGAAGTGATCTCTGAGGAGACTCAGGAATAAGCCCTGAGACTAGCAAAGGATGACCCCATCACAAAAGTAAAAACAGCAGTGCATTTCTCACAACATTCTACTAGGTCCTGTTACGGAGGTAGAAGCTACAACAATTTTTTTTTTATACTTTTTGGGGGCATATTCCATAAAACAAGTTTATAATTTTATATTTAAAATAGTAGTTTAGAATCAGTCCCTTTTCGGAAAAGAAACAAGAACCAAAAAAATCTCAGCAGCTGAAGATTCCATAAAACAAGTTTGTAATTTTATATTTAAAATAGTAGTTTAGAATCAGTCCCTTTTCAGAAAAGAAACAAGAACCAAAAAAAAAAAATCTCAGCAGCTGAAAATCTACCTTCTTTATGAAAAAAAAAAAAAAGAAAGCACCCTCGATTGCACCCAAGGCTATTATCATCTCCTGGATTATTCCAGTATGGGGTGGGGGGGTGGAGAAATGACACAGTATCATCCACTTTGGGAATGCTACATCATTTTTGATCACTGAATACAGACCCAGGAGTAACTCATGAGCACTGTCAGGTGTGGCCTCAAACCCATCTACTTTGGGAATGCTTCCCTTAATCACAGAGGAAAGTGAAACACACGCCCAACAATTGGGGCAGATAGTCTAGAGTCAACAAGGAAGTTTTCAATTTTATCTTAATTAATGTGCATAGGTACATATAACCATATTTAATAGGAAAATACTATTCTTCAGTTAAATCAACATACCTAGAAAACGTGCCCCCTCACACGATGCTTCATATAAGCCATCTGATGAAGTCTCAGATTAGAGAAATCTGAAAAGCATACTAGGTAAGGTACACCTAGAGAAGAGCTCCCACCCCTCAAAAAATATATCAGAAGTTAACTGACCCTTTTAAAAAACCCAGAATTTTTTAGGTCAGACAAGGAATGTTTTTAAACAGCCCCTGATATATGTACCTATGCATCCTGTCTTAAAACATTTACAGGCTTGCATCAAGCTGAGAAAGCTTGAAAGAGTCTACACTCCCCAAAAATCATGCTGGAAAACCATACTTGTAAATCTAAATTCTAATAAAACTTTACCTGTTTTCTTCTTTTTATCAGAAGGAGCATCCGAAGAGGTTAAAGTGGTAGAGGAGCTTTTATGACTATCCTGACCGCATACTCCAGGGTCTTCTTCATCAGAAGAAAATGAAGATAAAGGTTCCAAGTTTTTCAGTTCATTATCAGCTTTTTCTGATGGACTATTACTTCCAGTTTCAGATATAAAAGGTGCGGGTGCTGTAGACGAAGTCTTTGGAAGTGATGGGGGACAAAATGTACGAACAACCTGGGTCCCTGATCGTCTGGTCCTGTTTGGCATTCGCACAGCAAGAGTGGAAAACTGCTGCTTGGGCCCTGACTTCAGAAAATCTAAGAAAGAGGCAATAAATCCTGTCTTGACTTCTGGCTGTTTTTCCTCCACTTCTCTGATTTTCTGTCTCATTTTTTCTTGATGCTGGTAACCATCATGGCAGCTTTCTGAGGAAGGAGGCGTATAGGGGAAACATGTATCGGCTCCCCTTGGGTTCTGGCGTTTGTGGTGGGCAGGTCTTTTCAGCTGCTTCTGATTACTGCTCTCGTCTTCTTTAGTTTGCCCTTTTCCTTTCGTTTTCTTCTTCTGAAGGCCGAGATGCATTAAATCTTGGTTCTCTTCTTCCACCTTCCCACCAACTGTATCCCCAGGCTGAGCCAAGGTCAACAGCGCAAGTGTGCTCTGAGATGGGTTCATGGGTCCACCACCATCATCGCCTCCTAAGGTGAATTCGCTCTCTGATGTAGCACTTTCTCCGCTTATACTTCTACTACTAGAGACAAATTCTTGGTTTCTGTTATTATTTAACATACTATCAACAGGAACTTCGTTGTCCTCTTCAGATTCATGATTGGCACCAGACTGTTTTTTGAATGGGCCAGAACTTGTCTCCTGAGCTTCATGACCTGATCCAACCCCTGGGGAAATTACTTTAGATGTTTTACTTTGACAAGATGTTTCAACGTGCTGTTGATCAAGAGCCATTTTTGACTGAAGGCTGGATACTGGTGAAAGGTTCACAGTCACCTGATTTCCATTTAAAGACATATCACTGAGACCCTGTGGCTTTCCTACTGTAGCGGTGATGGAGTTAAAATCTGAAGTCACAGGTCCTACATCTAAAGGCGGATGGAAATGAGATTTAGAATCACCATCTTCAACAGCCGGAATGGCTGCATTTGCCGTTGCCTTGGTAAAATCAGAAGGTGTGACTCCACAAGCTACTGCTGTAGCAGCTAAAATATCATCTACATTTGATAAAATATTCCTTTCATCACCAAGAAGCATTGCCTCTGGGAAACATATTGATCCAAGAGACACAAACTGATTCTTTGAGTCATGCTGATTTGTTTCACTAAAATGACCCTTTGTTGTTAGATGCAATGGTTTTGAAGATTCTGGAAGGTCCATTTTCATAATTTCAGAATTCTGAGGATGGAGCTGCTGTTGCTGAGAATGCTCACCATTGCTCTGAATATGACTATCCATTTGAAGGAAAGGATGTACAATTTGTTGAGGACTCTGAACACGCTGTACTTGTAAAGATGTCTTTACTTGTCCTAAACCTGCCTGCAGTATTGATTGCTGAAGAATCTGTAAATCACAGGCAGGATCTAAAAGGACCTGTGTATTGGGAAGGGTTGCTTGATGACCATGCCCTAAGGCATGATTTGAAATTTGAATCTGAGATGAGGGGTTGATTATTGGATCATGCTGTTCCTGGACCTTAGTTTCATGCACCTTATGAATAAGTGAATGCTGCTGGTTCAGGTCTTTAGCATTCAACCTTATTTGTGGGGGGGTCTGCATTAAATTAGCTGCCTTCTTCATATCAAGGGTTGCTGCATTATTGACTTGCCCAATTGGCTGGTTAAGTTGTGTCACTGACCCAACCACACTTTCTTCTTTTTTGGATCCCTGCAAAGCAATCCCAACAACTTGATCTTCAAGACGGGAATTACTTCTGATTACACTCTGGGAATATCTGTCATCTGCCTTTGACACTTTATAAGCAGACTCTTGAGTATTAATTTCCCCGTCTGAGAGCCTTTGGGTCGAAGACTCAAGAGATACTTGTGGCTGTAATACCGGTAACTCTTGCATTGGAAAATCACCTTCTTGCTTGGAAGGTGTGTACACAGTTGAATCAAGTTTTCTTTCTGCATAGGTCTTTGGATCAGGGGATGGTATATTATCCTGTAACGTCTGACAATGGGTAGAGGATACAAAAGATGGTGACTGGACAACAGGCAAAAACTTTTGGGACTGAGGTGGAGATGACCCTTGAGTCTGAACATTTTGGGAAGAATGCACAGAAATATAATTCTGTGTTGGGCTGGAATCTGGCAAATTCTGAGCCCGAGAGGCAGAAGAATAAGAAAGAGAAGGGGCTGTTAAAGTTAGGGACTGCCCTGAAGCATAGCTTTCTGAAGGACTAACAACTGACAAAACTTGTGATTGAGATGAATAGCTAGCCTGTGTCTGGCTAACTGGTGATAAACCCTGAGCATGACCGGATGAATAACTCTGAGACTGGCTAACTGAAGACATATCTCTTGTTTGAGCAGGGTAGTTCTCATTTGTAACTGAAGATAACACTTCTTGCTGATTAGACGAATAATTTAGTGTCTGGTTTTCAGAAGCCTGAGATGATCCAGAAAAAGTCAATGTTTTATATAAAGGTGGTATCTTCTCTACTTTGCTGGGCCTATAAACCTGTGAATGAACAATTGATGGCACATTATGTGGCTGTACTAAACCATAATTTTGAGACTGACTAACAGATAAAAGGCTTGGTAGCTGCGCTGTAGAATAAATTTGTGCTTGGCCTGATACTACAGAAGTCTGGTTATGTAAAGTTTTTGAATAGCTTAGTGTTTGCACAGGAGGAATTACACTTGGAGGCTTAAGGGTCTTAGTAGATATTAGTGGTTGTTTTGTAGGACAGCTCTTTACTTCTGTAGTAGAATGAGGAGAATATCCTGATGACGGAATTGCAGATGAGTAAGATTGATCAAGTTCCACAGAGACTTGGGAGGGTTTTTGTTGTAATCCTCCATTGCTCACCTGAGTAGAATCTCCTATTGGGCTACAGGATAAAGATGACTGCCTAGTTGTTTCCTGAAAATTAACTACACTTGGATTTGAAAGATAACTATGTAAGGAATGCTGTGAACCAGTCAGTTGTGTCTGAATAGACTGGGTACCTGAAGGCCGCTGATGGTGTTTAATAACACTACATTCTCGAAGAAGAGCTCTATCAATGGACGCAGTTGAATTATTAAAGAGAGTTGAATTGTAGGCTTGAGGAGTCTGCTGGGCTCCTCCCAGTGCTGAAGGCAACAAACTAAATTGAGGTTGTAAAAGATGGGGTGCAGATTCTTGAGCTGAGCGATATGTTGATGACTGAGGTGGTATGCTGTTACTTAATGCGGAATTTCCCAGACGCTCAAATGCCAAAGCAGTTGGAATAGTTCCCTGGGAAGTCTTGATTTGTAGCAAAGGATCATGAGGACTTAAAATTCCATTTGATGTAGTGTTAAAAGTTGAATCTGGAAGCACCAAAGGTGAGGTGGTAGCAAAGTTTCTATTGCTAAAGGTAGTAGGATGCTGATAAGCAGAGAGCGCAGAAGGTGGAAGTGTTCCAGTGGTTGGCAAAGGTCCAGTAACAAAGAGCTCAGCTGCCGATGAAGAATGCATACCTATGAAAACAATTTTTCATATTAGCAATATTTATTAAAAATCACCAGACTAACACAGATTTTATGTGTTTAAGATTATATAAATTCTATTAAAGGTCAGAAAATTTTTCCTTAAGTTTTGAATATTGCATTTCAAAACACCTTATTTTTTCCCCTTTTTTAAAAAAAAATTGGGGGAGGGGGTTACACCCAGCAGTGCTCAGGGCTTACTATTGGCTCTGAGTTCAGAGATCATTTCTGGTGGGGATTAGGGGATCATATGGGATACCAGGGATCAAACCAAGTCAGCCTCATACAAGGCAAGAACCCTACCTACAATACTACTGCTTGGATCCCAACATATCACTTTCTTAAAACACTCACAAAGGCATCTCCAATTCATATCTATAATTTTATGCAAATAGGTTTGAAAAAGAAAAAGTTAACTGAAAATTAAGAAACCACTAAAAATTTTCCTTATCTCTAATAATTAATTTATTCTGAAACCTCAAGTCAAAATATCAACGAAAAAAATCAAAACATTAAGATTAAAATAGAAACTAAAAGTCTACATTAGTGGAATACATATAATAGAGAAGTAAACAGTGGATCTTCTTTTATCCAAAGATATCCAGTTGAAAATCCTGTTATATTTCAAGTTTTGACTTCTGATGAATGACTTCCAGCAACGGGAGGGCTTACTGATAAAAAAAATTAATGAAGTACTATGAAGTTAATATTTTAGAAAAGCAGTCTTTTACATACAGCAAAAGTAAAGCTGTATTTATCCTTGTAATCCAGTACATCTAATTCTAGAAATTAATCTCACAAAAATAATGAGAGGGCTAGAGAGCTAGCTCAAAGGGCTGGAATGCCTGGATCAGATCCCTGACACACCATAGTGACACCCTGGGGCACCTGAGCACCACAAGGCGTGCTGCTCCCAAACTGCCCCCCAAAATAAAGAACTACAAAATTTTATTTTGTTTTTACTTTTTGTTTTTGTTTTGGGGCCACACCCAGCAATGATCAGGGCTTGTTCCTGGCTCTGCACTCAAGAATTACTCCTAACTGCTCATTGGGGGACCATATGGGATGCTGAGGATTGAACTGCGTCAGCCACATGCAAGGCAAACATCCTATCCACTGTACTATCGATTTGACCCAAATTATAAAATTTTAATTTGTTAAAAATTATTGTGTATGTTATATATAATCTATAAGGAGAAATTACCTAAATGTTCATCTAAAGGAGAATGAACAAGTAATCATGGCATAGCCTAATAATTTATCATTGATTATGGTTCTGTAGATTTTGCTATACAAAGACATCAAAAGAGAGTAAACATTAAACTTAATTCCTCTCTGAAAAGTAGATTATAATCAGAATTATAATTTACTATAATTATTATTTCCATTTTATTTTTTAAATTTTTTAAGTATACTTTCATAAAAACAAATTTTAGGGTCAAGGATGAGACTCAGTAGCAGAGCACAGGCTCAACATGTGTGGAAAGTCGATTTAATCCCTTGTACCAATATACACAATACAAACATTACCGATTTTGGTAAAATGGAGAAATGATTGTCTCACCCTTTAAAAACATTTTTTCTCTCATTTTTCTCCAAGTAATGCGATGAAAGATTTACTATTACAGGGCTAAAAAGATAATACTGCGGGTATGATGCTTGCTTGCATAAGGCCTACCCTTTGTGGTCCTCTGAGCCAAGCCAGGAATAATCCCTTGAGTACAGAGCCAGGAGGAAGTCCTGAGCACTGCTGGGTGTGGTCCAAAACAGACAAACAAAAGTATTACTTTTACACAGAAAATATCTAATTATACTTACACCTTAAAGACTAACACTTCATAGGAACTAGAATAGAAAACTAATTTAATAAAAGTATGACAATATCCCAGAAAGAAAAAACAAAAACTCTGGTTTCAATACTGTTCTACTTCAATACTGTTCACACTAAAATGCTCATTCTTTCCTCGTAAACAGGAAAAAAGGGGGCTGTAGCGAAAGCACAGCAGGTAAGGCGTTTGTCTTGCATACAGCCGACCCAGGTTCCATTACAAGCATTCCATATGGTCCCCTGAGCACTGCCAGTTGTTATTCCTGAGTGAAGAGCCAGGAGTAACCCCTGTGCATCACCAGGTATAACCCAAAAATTTTTTTAAAAGGGGCTGGAGCGATAGTATAGCAGGTAGGACGTTTGCTTTACATGAGGCTGACCTGGGTTCGATTCCCAGAATCCCATATGGTCCCCAAGTACCACCAGGAGTAATTCCTCAGTGCAAAGCTGGAATAACTCCTAGGCATCGCTGGGTGTGATCCAAAAAAGCATTAAAAAAAAAAAAAAGCAAACAGGAAAAAAGAACAAACTTAGGAGCTCTATTAGTGGGCTGAATTAAAAATAAAAGTTCCTATAGATTTGGGGGGATTAGTTTGTTTTGTTTTGGAGCCACACAAGCAGAGCTTGGTTTATTCTGGCTCTGTGCTCAAGGATCACTCCTGGTCATGCTCCGGGCACATGTGGTTCTGGGAAACCAAATGCAGGTCAGAAGCATGTAATACAAGCAGGCACCCTATCTGCTTGGACCATTCCCAGTGTGCTCAGGCGTTAATCCCACCTCTGCACTCAGGAATCACTCTTGGCGTGTTCAGGTAAACACCACATGGGATGTCAGGGATCAAACCAGGGTCAGACACATGCAAGGCAAGTAACCTACCCACTGCACTATATCTCCAGCCATTTTTCCCTAGTTATTTCTCAACGCTGTCTTCTGAAATGTTATAACATTTCTTGTTCCTTAAAACAAGATAATAAGTCTTAAAAGTCAGAGAATTATAGATGAGCCGAGTTCATTAATGTGAAAACCTGGGTTCAATCTCTAACATGGTCCTCCAACCATCTCCACCAGGAGTTATACCCTGGCACTGTCAACTGATGGTGGCTTTTTTTTCATTTAGAAAAAAAATTACAAAACCTATAATTTGGGTTTAGAAACAACTAAAAAATAAAATAGGAAAAATCAGGAATGTATTGATGAATACAATATATTAGTATCAACTTACAATGACTTTTTTTGGGGGGGAGGGGTGAGGAACATACACGGAGCAATGCTCAGGAGTTAGTCCTGTTACTTAAGAATTAATTGCTTCTGCTAATGCATGGTAAACAAGGGATCAAATCTGGGTGGGTTGTATGTGAGGCAAGTGCCTTACCCAATATATAATCTCTCCAGATTCTCAGTGACCATTATTAAGTAGTGATAAAAACCTGTTAAACTAAGGACAATTTTATACTAATGATAAAAATCAGTCCTAAGATTTTTTTTGTTTGTTTTTGGTCATATCTGATGATGCTCAAGTACTGTTTCTGTCTTTGTGCTCAGGGGTGACCCTTGCCAGAACAGGGAACCACTATATGTAGTACCAGGGATCTGTATTAGAGTGCATCAAGACATGTTTAGATGGCAATCATTTACCTCTTATAATATCTCTTTGGCCTCCCAAAACTTTTTTTTTCTTTTTGGGTCACACCCAGTGATGCACAGAGGTTACTTCTGGCTCTGCACTCAGGAGTTACTCCTGGCGGTGCTCAGGGGACGATATGGGATGCTGGGAATCGAACATGGGTCGGCCACATGCAAGGCAAACGCCTACCTGCTGTGCTATCTCTCCAGCTCAAACTTTTTAATTATATCACCTAACCAGGCTAAAGTCACTAAAATATATGAAATTTGTTCTCTCACCAAAAAAGGATAAACATGGTAACTGATATTTTATTTTTATTTTCTTTTTGGGTCACGCCCAGCGATGAACAGGGGCTTTGCACTCAGGAATCATTTCTGGCGGTGCTCAGGGGACCTTATGGGATGCTGGGAATCGAACCCAGGTCGGCCGCGTGCAAGGCAAACGCTCTACCCACTGTGCTATTGCTCCAGCCCTACTATGCTGTATATTTTAAATATGCTACAATTAAATCTCAATAGTTAAAATTAAAAAAAAATATTAATCTGTGCTTTTGTCAGGTATACAAATAACTAAACTGTTAGTTAATAACTTCACATCTAGAGTTTTGTCTCCCAAGCAATGGTGAGGGAATCAGGGCTTCTCCTGGCAATAATCAGTCAAGCAAACAGAAGGTTCAAAGTTCAGGTCCAACAATATGCTTCCTGGGCCTGGTGGTGTTTTGGGCCATGAACTATATCAGAAAAGAATGAATTTCAGGTTCCACATATTCAAGACTACCAGGAAAGAATGAATATCGGGTTCCACATATTCAAGGCATGAGCTGCAGACTTTTAAATTATACCCCCGCCCCTACAGCTTTCTTTTATCATTATCTATCTTCTTCAGTTTGTTAGTCCTCACAACAGTGCTAAAACTGAGTTTCTGTCAGTAACAATGTCTTAAATTTGTTCACATGGAATTGTAGAAGAAAAAAAAATCCTAGAATTTAAAGTTCACCGGAAAAAAGATAATTTGCACCATTTTGCCCACTACCATAACAAGATGATAAATTTTAATTTTCTCACTATTTTCACAGGACTTAAAAATTCTAAAAATCAAGTATCACCTGTCTGCCAAGATGGAGCCCTGAATTGTGGTAAAAGAGTAGTTCCTGAAGAAGCAGCCTGAGCAGTTCGAGATTCAACAGCAGAGAGAAAATTCATCACCGAAGATTCTTTAGTGTTACTGCTGGCACCGTTCACACTAGTATCAAATATTCCAGAAAGACCTGCATTTGAAAATAAAGTATGTCCCGAAGTAAAATATATGCATATACATAAATTATATTCTGCTGGGGTTTGTGGTGGTTTATTTATTTATTTTTTTAATTTTTTTTTTTTTTTGGTTTGAGTCCATACCCAAAGATTCTCATAACTCCTGGATCTGGACTTAACTCCTGGTAGTGCTTGGGGCACCATAGGTGATACTAGGGATCAAACCAGCATGGGTACAAGGTAAGTGCCTTTCCCACTGTACTATCTCTCTGGTGCATCTCTGATCTTTTTAAGTCTCTGAAAATTGAGACTAAATATTCAGTGAACCTGTTTTTTTTTATTTCAAAATATCAAGTATTAATCAAGTATATTTATGATTTGAAATCAACAAAGATGCATGAAAAAGGTCTTTCAGATGATTAAATAGATATTCCCTTTCAGAAAAAGATGAGACTTTTAATCTCATTTTAACATTTCCCACAGCAGAGTTATTTTGTACACATTCATAATTCAACATAATAAACCTAACTAACTAAACTTTAGACTGACAAAATGTGCCCAGACTGTTGAAATAGTGCATGTGAGTATTTTTACCAGTTGGCTGAGGTGTGGAAGTATATCCAGGAAGCTGGTGAGAGGTTGCAAAGGTCTGTCTCTGCAGGAGATCTGTTTCAGAGTGTGAGGGATGTCCTTCTTCATAGCTTAAACTAGAGGACAATAAAAACCAGTAACCAAAACCACAGTCCAAAACATATAATAAAAATTTCTAGTAAAGCAACTATCAAAAGAAGCAATTGTCTTTTAATAAAACACCTAGTCTATATAGCAGTAAATCAAGTAACATAGTTTGATAATACTCTCAAAATGGAGAAAATACACATGATATATAATGGAAATGAAAATAACACATAGCATTCTCCATAACCCAACTTTACCTCCAACTGAGTCCTATTACTGGGAAAGGTAACATAGCACACTGGAAAGCTCGACATGCTGGAAAACAGGGCTGAATTCACCGCCTAAGCATTACTTCTGGTTTACAGGTTAACTGCTTTCGAACTAATTTCCATCTATATGAGAAAGGAACTTATCAAGATCGTTTTTTCTTTTTCTTTTTTTAATTTTTATTTTGTTTTCGGGCCACACCTGGCAATACCCAGGGTTTACTTCTGGCTCTGTGCTCATGGGTTACTCCTGACAGAGCTCAGGGAACCATATAGGGTACCAGGGATTGAACTCGGGTCGGCCTCATGCAAGGCAAGTGTCCTTCCGAGTGGACTATCACTCCAGAGCGAAGGTCCATCTTTCCTTCCTCCCGCCCTCCTCCCTCCTTCCTTTTTTTTTTTTTTTTTTATAAATGTAGGGGTACTGCTATTTATTCAACTACTGATTAAGCTGACTGAGCTGGGTATGAACACATTATCTTTTTGTAGCACTGTCCTCCCATTCATTGATTTGCTCAAGTGGACCCAGTAACGTTTCCATTGTGACTTATTTTTTTGTAAATTTTTTTAAATTGGGTAATCATGAGATAGACCATTACAAAGCTGTTCATAATTGGGTTTCAGTCATGCAATGATCCAACACCCATCCCTCCACCAGTACACACCTCCTACCACCAATATCCCTCATTTCCCCACCACATCCCCCAGCCCCCCCACCCCTTACCCCCAGTCTCCCTCTATGGAAGGCACTTTCCTTCTTGCTCTCTCTCTCCTTTTCGCCATGGTCATTTCTACAGTTCCTTTGGTATTACCAAATAAAATATCACGGTCATGGTCCTCCCGTTGTTCATCGATTTGCTCGATCGGGCCCAGTAACGTCTCTATCATGAGACTTGTTGTTACTGTGTTTGGCATATCGAATACGTCACGGGGAGCTTACCAGGCTCTGCCGTGCGGGCAGATACTCTCGGTAGCTTGCCGGGCTTTCCAAGAGGGGCGGAGGAATCGAGCTCGGGGTGGCCATGTTGGCTGCTTGTAAGGCAAACGCCCTACTGCTGTGCTATCGCTCCAGCCCCACCAAATAAAATACCAGATAATTTAAATAAATTACATTGTGTTGTTTATTTTTGTTTTGGGGCCAGACCTGGCAATGTCCAGGGTTTAGTTCCAGCTCCCAGCTCAGGGATCACTCCTGGTGGGGCTTGGTGTCCAGGATCAAACCTGGGTTGGCCCTAAATTCAAATAAATTAATAATCAGTATTTCCCAGTAACTCAAAAGAAAACTTCAAGAAAATCTCATATAATCTTAAAAGTGATTAGAGCAAGAATTTCCCCCTCCCCCCCACTATGATTCTTATTCTAGACACATTTATTTCCTTTCTGGGGTGTAGGGGGTCAATTGGGACCACACCTAATGGTGCTCAGGGACTATTCATTGCTCTATGCTCTATTGCTCTATGCCAGGTTGGGGGACCAAAAATGGTTCCAGGGATTTGAATCAGGGTTAACTGCATGTTAGGCAAGTAGCTCACCTCCTATACTATCTTATTTCTCCGGCCCCCATTTGGATATCTGAAACCCAGAAAAACTGAAATAGTACAATAAATATCCACACGTATCTGTCATTCAAAATTCAACAGCTTAATGTTTTGTGTCTTAACTTTCTCTGCACACACACACACACACACACACACACACACACACACACACACACTTTTCTTTACTAAACCACCTGAAAATAACTTTTAGGATCATTTTATCTCCTAGCAAGGTCATCATCCTCTATCATTATTAGACTTGAAGCCTGAAGCAATGTAATATTAAATCAGTAACAGCAAGTAACAGAGATAATACATTCCAATCTCTCTAATCTCTGCCAAAACATCTGGGATTTTTTGTTGTTCTTGTTATGGGGTGACACCCGGCAATGCTCAGGGCTTACTCCTGGCTCTGTGCTCAGGGATTAATTCCTGGAGGAGCTAAGGAGATCATACTGGGTTTGGGAGACCAAACCTGTCTCTGGCGAGAGCAAGTCATTGCCCTACCTGTTATACCATCACTCTGGCCTCAATGAATGTATCTTTTAATATGCTTTTACTACTCTTCAAGTTTCTCTTGTTCAGCTTGTTGAAAACTTTTTCCCTTTTGTAAATGTTGACTAAATACTGTTTCCTGTGCCCCCCAAATACAAAATTCACCAAGAAAAAAAATTTTTTTTTATTTCTAAAAAAAATGTTGAGTAATATAAATATAGCACAGCGGGTAGAGCACTTCCCTTGCAAATGGTAGACCCAGGTTCAATTCCCAGCATCACTCACATATGATCTCTGGAGCCTCAGTAAGAGTGACCCCTTAGCACAGAGCCTGGAGTTATCCCTGAGCACTGCTGAATGTGGCCACAAAACAAAACAGAACTGTTGTTAAAGAAATTTTACTAAGTTCTAATAATTAAAAAAAAATATTCTGCGGGGCTGGACTGAGAGCACAGCAGGTAGGGCATTTGCCTTGCATGCGATCGACCTGGTTTCAATTCCCAGCATCCCTTATGGTCCCCCGAGCACCACCAGGAGTAATTCCTGAGTGCAGAGCCAGGAATAACCCCTGAGAATTGCCGGGTGTGACCCAAAAAGACAAAAAAAGAAATTCTGCATCCACATTTTGGTCATATTTATTATGAATGCTTTTTCCTAATGTCTCGTCTTTACTTTCTTTGTTTTCTTACTGTTTTTAAATACAAATTTTTAATTAATTTTAATCCTGAAAGACATTTAAAATGAATTCTACCTAACAAATTTTGAAGTATACAAAACAATGTTGATGATTATGGGTACAAAATATTAAATCTCTCAAGAACTCATTCATTTCATATAAATGAAGCTTTGCTACTTTTCATTTTGAGGTCACACCTTCCTGGCAGTGCTCAGAGCACCATGTGGGGGTAAGAATCGAACCCAGGCTCCCAAATGCAAAGTAAGGTTCAACTTTTTTACTATCTTATAATTGGAACTTTTTAAAAAAAATTTAATCTATTGAACTCCTTATTTTCTACCTCCTGCTCCTGGCAACCATTCTATTCTTTGCCTCTGAGTTTACTAACAATGTTCTAGTTTCTGATCAACTTAAATTACCATTTCAAAAATAACCAATACTTTCAGTGCTCTGTTTATGAAGTCTCTGTCAACTATTATATTCTCCTAGGTTTTCTTTTACTTTTTTGGGAGGGGTTTCTTAAGTGGTGCTCAGGAGGCCAAGGGATCTCTCTGGGTAAACCTTTGCCTAACTAAGCACTTCAGTGTGGGGAACCCCAGATTGCAGTTCAGATCAGGGGCCCTTCAAGGGCTGTTCCTGTCAATGTCTGCAGGACCACATGGTGCCAGGAACTAAACCACTGTCGGCCAGAAACCAGACAAAAGTTTAACCCCTATACTACCCCTCTGTGACCCCAGACTTTTCTTAAATTTCAAAGTATTGTTTCTATTTTAGTATACAAATCATTTTGAAATAACTTTTGTATATGGTATATGGTCCCTACTTCACAAGGTTCTTATTTTTAGTATCTTTAAAAAGTAAAATATAATATGCATGCAATAAAATTCATCCTTTCTAGAGTACATACAGGCAGTGAATTTCAACAAACAGTAAACACTACGGAAATCCCAGAGAAACTCAATTTTCCATTTCGTGATTTTCCCAGGCCCCTTTGTAGTAATCCCAGCCCACCACACCTCTAGTCCAGATGGGGTTCCCAAGGATCAAGTTGGGGTAAGAGGGATGCAAGGCAAGTACCTCCACCTGTACACTCTTTCTGACCCCTGAACTTCACTGTTTTGCTATTTTTTTCATATGAATTTGAAATTCTTTAGAACAAAAATACCTAATTGTCGTTTTAAAATATTCCTACCATCCTATCTGCTTTTCAAATTATTGAAGCAGCCCATGCTCTGTATTAAAACACCTGTTGTATATAAATTTCCTTACTCTATCAGCTGATAGCCGAGAATAATTACACTCTAGCAGCTTTAAAAGCACCTAGGTTGCAGACCTTAGTTCCTAATACCACTGTTCAAGAAAAAATAACCACGGCTCCCTGGAGAAATGACTGACTTTACTACTGGGATATGAAACAAGACAGATGAGCTTAAAGCATCTGGAGTGCAATGAATATTAAATTGCTTCCAAGAAGAAAAAAATAAACAAAAAGAAGATGCCAAAATGTTACATTTATGGGAACATATTAAAGGGATATAAATACCAACTGAAAAAGTATCCAATCACCAAAGCTGGAATATTTTGCAAATAAGTTAAGTACTACTAGATTTTAACCAGTACAAAACATCCATGAGTCCATACTAATACAATTAGGAATTAAGTTAGTAAATAGAAAACACAAATCCACCTTAAAGAATTCTGAATGTTTTATGAAGATAGTTTGTCCTCAAGAACATAGCTCATACCTCCCTATTCCTTAAATGTGAACTTCACATACTGACTTCATTTCAAAGGCTGGGGGGAACATGGTAAAAAGGAGTAAATTAATTCAATCTCCAGAATATATACATGCAAAAGTGACTTAATGAAGAAATGTAATGAACACTAAGTCAGGTTTAAAGATTAGTATCAACAGTGATAAATCATGTATATTACACAAAGTTTCTCTCTAACAAAATCACAACCCAACTCCATGAACAAAAAAAAAAGGGAGCCAATTTCAATAGAGGGGCCAGATGTTTTAGTTCTCTTTCAGTTCTGCAAAATAGTTGACC